TTAATGTATTATATTCTAATTTCTTTTTTCAATTTCTCATAAAAGCTTCGTTATTTCGATTCAATTCAAATATTTCTATATATTAAAATTTGGGATCGGATAAGAGATCCGATCTTTTTATCTATGAAATTATCGAAATAATATTATCTCTCAACCTATCTATTATTCTATTTATTTCTATTTATCAATATCTCTATTTGATTCTTTATCTATCTTTATGAATATCTTAATCTATGATTTTTTCACCTTCTTTTATTTCTCTATCTATCTTTATATATCTCCGATTATCTATCTATCTATCTATTTATCTATCTCTTTAATTTCATTTATCGGACCATTAATCGAATATTTATCATCCGATTATCTTTATTTCTTTCTATCTATTATTATGTATTTATCTAAATCTGCGCCTATCTAAGATTCTTTATCTCTCGAAATACCTATCTATCTCTATAAATCTATCTGAATCGATATATTTTTCTCTATCTGAAATATCTATCTATCATTACCAACCAGATTCATATCTATTCATAATCTTTTTTTATATTGAATTAGAGATTAATCTATTCATATAGAGATTTCCATATTAGAATATTAATGAAACTCGATATCTATATATATATATACATATTCGATCATTTGATTATCTTTTTATTTGCCTCATAATTGATATATTTCATTTATATATCTACCTCAATTTATTTATGATATTCATCTTCTTATCTATCTATCTATTTCAAAAGATAGAAATAATCGGCGGTCGATAAATAGATAAATCTATATCAATAAATAGATAAAATATAAGGATAGAGATAGATAATTAGAACGAGAGAGATAAATAATATCCCATATAATGATAATTAGAAAGATATATAGATATCAATATATGAATAGATAAATAGATATAGATCGATAACGTTCTCATAAAATATATATTTTCGTATTCTTCAAAAATTCATATCATAAATGAAATCTTTATTTCTTATTTTTTATAAATTCAAGAATCTAGAATTTCATTAGGGAAAGAATCTATCAGAAATATATTAAAATCCATACGAATAATAAGATCGTAAATATTGAAATATTCTATTTCTGATATCTCAAGAGTTTTATATATTTTATATTTCTTCGAAATTATTGAAATTTTCTCATTTTGGAAATGATATAAATATATCAACAAGAAATACATTTATTCAAAAAACATATCGATACAGGAAAATTATGATTTATATGAATGTAAAAAATAAGTGAGAAATCTAAAAATAGATTATATACATAAAGATATAGAGATATCAATAAGAATAGAGGGGATGAATTATCAAATAGAAATCTATAATAACGATTAATAGATAGATAATCTAATCTGAATTCATATTGGAAAAAGAAAGAAATAGATGAATAAAACGAGATATTTATCATTAGAGAAGAAAGAGAGAAAAGAAATTGATATTGATATACGAGATTAATGCCATATTAGAATTATACCGCTGCCTATAATAATAGAAAATATTTAAATCTAATGATCAAATAATCTATAAGATCGCACGTAGAACTCGATGAATTATCAAGATTTTAAGACCGCACGTGACATATAGATTCGGAAAGATTTTTAAATCTCCCCCCGGGTCTTCACGTTTCACCGAGCAGCTGCGCAGAAAACCAAAGAACGAGAAATAGCTCGAAATCTTGGGAGATTTTTGGCCATGAGGTCCTTTGATCGTGCGATCCCCGCATCCCAGCCCGATCTTTCCGCCTCATTTATCTCTCTTGGACTATTTGCGCAGCGGCTCGGAGACGCGCATAAATCTCCGCGAACAGATCACGACTAATTCATAAAGTCGAAAAGATTTTGATTCTCCATCCCAGGTCTACGCACTCCTCCGAATAGCCGCGCCGATAACCAAAGAGAGATAAATCACGCGGAATATATAAGATCGCACGTGACTCTCGACGAACAATCAATATATAAGAGCCGCACGTGACCAAAAACGACCAATCTAATAGATTCTGAAAGATTTTGGATCTCCGGCCAGGGTCTACACCGAGCCGCGCAGATAGCCGAAGAGAGAGAAGTTGGTCAAAATCTCGGGCGATTTCGGGGTGCGCGGGTTCCCGTATCCTCCCGGATCTTTCCGCCTCATTTATCTTTCTTGGGCTATTTCCGCGGCGAGCGGTTCAGGAGAATATATATATTCTCGTAGATAGATACGACCAATCTATCAATTCTGAAAGATTTCGATTTTCCGTCTCGGATCTATGCTCTCCGTCGAACAGTCGCGCAGATAGTCAAAGAGATAAATATCTCGCGCAGAAACCCGCTCCGGGACGAAAAGCCGCGCGACCAAAACTCTTCGAGATTTTTATTCGCGCTGCAAGCACCAAAAATCTCGGAAATTTTACAATCTCTAGCTTTTCTGAAGGATTCTAGAATCTCCGGGATTTTAGAGTCCCTAGGGACCCCGCAAGAGACATTATAGAGAAGAATTGGAAAAATTAGGTTGCGAGCGGTCGAAATGACCGCAAATCGGCGCGCCATAATCTTGAAATATATAATGTTCTATATCTAAAAATTCTCTTTCCAAGAATTCTTCATTGAAAATTAATATATCATTAATCCCAAATTCCAAGATTTCTTCTCCAATTTTTCCAAATAATCTAAAAATTTGCGTATGTCTATAATCTATTATATGATAATCATCAAAATCATGAGAGAAAATCTATAAGCATCCAGAATTCCGTATATCGAAATGAAGAAGAATTCTATTTAATTTTCTTTTATAGAAATATTATAATTGATCCGCTCGTTTCAATAGCGACCTACAACAACGAAACTATTTATCTATTTGAGAAAATCTATAATAAGAAATCCGATGACCCCATAATATATAAGATCGCATTATCTACGCGGCAGTTCGGCAGAACGCAGAAGTCCCCGTATATAGATATGATCAAATTGAACGATTTTGGATTTCTATCTCGGAGCTATGCATTCTTCCGATCAATCGCGCCAATCCAAGAGAGATAAATCCTGTGGAATATATTATATCGCACGTCTATTCCGACGAATAATCAATATCTAAGACCCTACGTATCCATAAATTACCAATCTTTTTGCTTCTAAATAATCTTTGCTCTCCGCCGAATCTTTGTCGAGCCGCCACGCAGACAACCAAAGAAAGAGAAATAATTCGAAATCTCGAAAATTTTCGGATTATATAACCTCCATATCCAATCCGATCTTTCCAATTTATTATATTTGATTTATTTACGCGACGCCATTCTAAAAAAAAGATCTATTCCGAATTTGCGCGCTCCATCGAACAATCTTCTAAATAATCGAAAAGAAATAAATCACGCAAAAAAAAAAGAAACAAAGGCCGCACAATCAAAACCCTCTGATTCCTAGCCGCATCATTTAATATATATTTTATAGAATCAAGATAGAAAATTATATCCAAAATATTTCAATTGTTCAGAAATTTCTATTCCATCCCAAATATTTATAAAATACGAAGAATTGATATTCCTCCCACTCTTTCTATATATGAAACTAAAAAATCTTTTATCGTGAAAAATATTTCAAATATTTTCAAATGATTCTTTATCGAAGAACGTAAAATTCAAATAAATTAATCCTTTCTTTATAATTGGATCTCTTTCTATTAATAATATTAATCGACCAATTGATATTGACATACGATAATATCTCAGAATAGAGCGTTAGATTCGATAGATCGTCCCATCGAGAATTCCCAATAATCATCATCTTCAAAGATGAAGACCGACAAATTCAGCAACAGATAGACCAAAGAGAAAAATTGACGCATAGATAGAGATAGAGACTGACAAACTCGAGAGATCATGAGATCGACAGATTGACAGACCGACACACCGGCAATCTCGCCGATAGATTGATTGATCGAAAGATTGATAGGCTGCTAGATCGACGGACCTTCTTTTTAGACCGCTCGACGGGTAGATTGATAGACTGAAAGACAGACTAACAGATGGATAGACAAACCTTAGAGAACCTTAGATCGACAGGATGAGAGACCGAAAGATTCGAGAGAAGATAGAGGGTCAGACCGACAAACTGACAGATCGAGCGACAGACTCATAGATCAACAGACCGTGAGACCGACAGACCACCAGAATGACGGACCGAAACACGGAGAGATTCACAGACCGGCACGCTGAGTGATTGACCGTCGGAGATTTAACAGTTCCAAAAGAGTGGAGGAGCGCCAGCTACGCCCATCAACCGAGCGGCCGCACAGACAGCCAGAGAGAGATAAGTGAGGCGGAGAGGGGGGTTGGGAGGGAAGGCGTGCGACCAAAAGTCTACGAGATCTTGGAGCCTCTAGCTTTTGAGAAGGACCCTAAAATCTCGGGAATTTTAGAGCCTGGGGAGCCCGCAGGAGGCATTTCAATGGAGAGCCGAGGAGCTGAGCCCCGCGCGAGCAACATGGCCGCAAGTGGCCGCGCCGGCTTAGTATGATGTAGGATCTACATATCGATGTGCATCGCTGAAAGATCTTAGAACAAGATGTGAAGGTTAAAGATCCGTCAGGCCTGTTATTGTGCATGGACAAGATCTATGCAAAATATAAATTGATTTGCTACATCTCCTCCTCCAGCATGAAATCAACATGGCCCTTTGAATTAAACATTCAGAATCCTGGATTTATCCATATAACCTAGATCCAAATCAAGAATATCTCGTATCTCCTAGACTCCTGGATCTTGGGCCTGGCTTCTTTCGGCCTTGCAGGCTCCTGTCCTTTCGTGGATGGGCTGTTCCGACGAGAAGCGGCTTCTTCAGAATTAGTTTCCCCGCTTTGTGTCCTCATCTTTATGAGGATTCTTTTTCGTTGTGGGTAAGTAGGGGCAAGCCTAAACCCTAAATTCTTTCTCGCTTTGGGTAAGTAGGGGGACCCTAGTTTTGAAAAAAGCCAGAACGCTCGGTTAGAGCTCAGCACCGTCTCAGCACCTTTCGGGCTCTAAAGCTTGTCCAGGTAGTCGCCAAGTGCGGGCATCTCGACCTTTCACGGGTGGATACGTGTCCCCCAAAAGCAGATCTCTCAAAATCATGCTCTTTTGGGACTCGGCCGAAGAGCCTTCTTTCAAGGTGCATGTATTTCAGCAGGCTTATCAACCCCTTCTTATCCTAAGAGATCTAGAATCTAGAAACCCGACGAACCTCTTGAAAGCTCCTTGCTTGCCCTGAAGAGTTGCATTCGGAACCTCGCCTTGAGGTTCTTGCGCTTGCGGATGCCCAGGATGAGCTCCTCCATCTTGCTGCCCTTGTCCAGGGGGTTACCCTGCAGGTTCTCCCAGTGATCAAAGACGCACTGCGGGAAAGCCTGTCCACTGGTGGCCTGCCTTGTCGCGTCATTGTTAGTAATTTCCACTTTGGGTTTGGGGTTTATTCAGGTGGTGGTGGTGGTGGTGGT